CTGAGAAACAACTCAAAAACCAAAAAAAAAAAAAAAAAAAAAGAAATGTAAAGGCATCTATTGTTCTTGGATACTCACAACCAATATAGTGAACATATCCATACTTCCAAAACGTTTATATAGATTTAACACAATCCCAACATTCCTCACAGAACTGGAGAAAGCAATACTAAAATTCCTATGGAGCCAGAAGAACCCTAGAATAGCTAAAGCAATTCTCTGCAACAAGGGAAAGGCAAGAGACATCACAATCCTGGACTTTAAGTTATATTACAAATCTGTAATGATAAAAACAGCATGGCATTCAGAAGAAACAGACTCATGCATCAATGGAACAAAATAGAAGATACAGAAAAAACTCTAGACACACTCAGCTATGTTTCTTTAAAATTTAAATTTATTGGTATAATTTAGATACACATAATGACTACATTCATTATAGAGAATTTATTTCTATACATGATATATCTTGGTTTTTCCTTTATTCCATTCCCATCCCGAGTTTTCAAACCACATTCCCCTCCCTCTTGACAAATCTAGGTTTCCATTTAATCCTTCTTTTGTCATTTTTTGTTTCCCTTCCTTTTTTACCCTCTCCCCTCTCTACTTCCCATTTCCTTCTGAACAGGTTCTTTCTATGTCACAATATTTATTATACATTTCTGTTCTTATCTACATTTTCATGTTTTTACACCAGAGAAATAATGAGATATTTACACATGTGTGTCTTACTTACTTTGCTTATTATTATTGTCTCAAGGTCCATTCTATTGATATAAAGATCTTAATTGTTTCTCCCTTATGACTGAGTCATACTCCATTATATTAAAAAAAACACATCTTTTTTTATCCGTTTATTGGTTGATGGGCATTTGAGTTGCTTCCAAAATTTAGGTATTACAAACTGTGCTGCTATAAACATGGCTGCATATATAGCTCTGTGGTATGATGGTTTTAATTTTCTGGGATGATACTCAGAAGGGGAATATCTGAGTCAAATGGGACCTGTAATCCTAGTTTTTTGAGGAAATTCCATACCCATTTCCACAGTGGTTGCACCAGTCTGCACTCCCACCAACCTTGCAGAAGGGTTTCTTTTTCCCCCACAGCCCCTTCAACATTTGTTATCATTTGATTTCTTGATGATAGCCATTCTTTCTGGGGTGAGATGGAATCTCAGTGTTGTTTTAATTTGCATCTCTTGAATGAACAGTGATGTTGAACTTTTAAAATATATTTATTAGCCATTTGTATTTCTTCATCTGAGAAGTGTGTATTCATGTTAGATGCCTATTTTTGGATTGGGTCTTTGAATTTGGTGGTCTGATTTTTTAAAGTTCTTGATATGTTTTGTATAGAAGACCTTCTGTTTCACAATAAATTTTAGGAGCATTTCCTCTAATTTTGTGAGGTATGCTAATGGTATTTTGATTTGAATTGCATTAAATCTGTGTAACAATTTTGGGAGTATGGCCATTTTTATCAGGTCAATACCTACTTGAGAACCTGTAGTGTAATAAGATGGAAAACATAGAAAAAAAGGAAAAGATTTCTTGAAACATATGAAGTGCAAAATTGAATCAAGATGATACAAAAATTTTAAATAACCCAATGTCAATTGATAAACTTTAAAATATAATTAAATACTTACCCACAAAGAAAAGCCCAGCTCCTGATGAATTCACTGTTGAATTCGACAAAAAATTTAGAGAATAATGCTGGTAATGCAAAATCTTTAATGAAATTGAAAAGGAAGCAATACTTCCAATATCATTCCTGGAAACAAGTATTACCCTGATACCAAAACCATGAAAACTACAAAAAAGAAAACTATAAACAAAAGAGAAAACTACAGGTCAGTCTCTCTAATGAACTTAGATGCAAAAATCAAAATAAAACTACCAAAAAAGAAAACAATAACCAAAAAAAGAAAGCAAAAAAGAAAACTACAACTAAAAGAGCAAACTGAAAAATTAAAACCAGTACAGGCTAGAAGAGAAAACTACAGGCCAATCTCCCTAATGAACATAGATGCAAAAATCTTCAATGAGATACTGGCAAACAGAATGCAGCAAATCATCAAGAAGGTTACATGGCATCAACAAGTAGGATTCATTGCAAGGATGCATGGATGTTTCAAACTATGCAAATCAACAAATGGAATACACTATATTAACAGACCCAATGACAAAAACCATACGATCATCTCAATAGATGCAGAAAAAGCGTTTGACAAAGTCCAACACTCATTCATGATAAAAATCCAGCCATAAAGAAGGTTAAATTTGAGACATTTACAGCTACTTGGGTGGACCTTGAGACCACTCTTATGTGAAATACATGGCACAAATATGTAAACACTGCACTGTCTCTCTGGTGTGAGAAACTGAAATTGTAAATAAATCCAAAACAGATATTGTGAAATAGGAATTTTTCAAAAGGAATGGGGAACTGGGGGAGGGAGGGAATAGATAAGAATGAGAATAAAAATATGAAATGGAAACAAACTAAATAAGGAGGAGAAGTGCTGAAGGAGTGAAGGGGAATGGAAAAAAGAACCAAGATATACCGGTACAAGTTCCTATGATGAATGTGATCATTATGTATATCTCAATTGTTTCAAAATCTTAATAAAAATAATAAAAATAAAAAGAAGAGTCAGTAAAAGAATTAGAAATTTAAAATTATGTAAAAATGTCATCTATGTCTCTCATCCCAAGGAAATCACTCTCATATTTTTATATTTTAAGCACTTGTATATAAATAAATATTTTAAAAAACATTCTATTGAGCATAGGAAGAGTACTAACACCACAGCATAAAACAAGATCTTCAGATGTGATTCAGAATTACTCAATGTACAGAGAACAAGGAAAATTGCACCAATTCTAAACAATCAAGACAACCAACAGATGCCAAACCCAGGATTATACCACAATTGAAATGGTCTTAAGTGATTTCATGAATTGTGATCACAATATATGATGAACATTTAAATTAAAAAAGAATTACTAGTATTAAAGACATATTGTTCCTTTAAACATTTTATTTCTACAGAAAATAAGAATAGATGACCTGTACCTTAACCTGATCAAAGCCATCTATGACAGTCCAACAGCTAACATTATTCTCAATGGACGAAAACTGAAAGGTTTTACTTTAAAATCGGGAACAAGACAAGGGTGTGTGCTGTCACCACTCCTGTTCAATATAGTTCTGGAACCACTAACCACAGCAATAAGACAGGAGAGAGAAATATAAGGAATAAGGATAGGAAAGGAAGAAGTAAAACTATCACTATTTGCAGATGACATGATACTTTATATAGAAGACCCCAAAAACTCCACAAGAAGACTCCTTCAGTTAATCAACAAATTCAGCAGTGTAGCTGGATACAAAGTCAACACCCAGAAATTGATAGCATTCCTATACACAAACAACAAACAGACTGAAAGGGAATTTAAGAAAACCATACCTTTCACAATAGCACCCAAGAAATTGAAATATTTAGGAATCAATCTAACAAAAGAAGTAAAAGATTGAATCAATGAAAACTACAGTATGCTGAAAAAGAGATCAAAGAGGATTTCTGTAAATGGAAAAATATTCCTTGTTCATGGATAGGAAGAACCAACATCGTGAAAATGGCCATACTTCCAAAACTGCTGTACAGATTCAATGCAATTCCCATTCAACTACCATGAGCATACCTCACAGATCTTGAGAAAATATGCCTTAAATTCATGTGGAACCAGAAGAGACCCAGAATAGCAAAAGCAATCCTGGGCAACAAGGACAAGTCAGGCGGAATCACAATCTCTGACCTGAAACTATACTATAAAGCTACTGTCATAAAATCCACCTGGTACTGGCTAAAAAACAGGCCTGAGGATCAGTGGAACAGACTGGAAGAAACAGCCACAACCAAAAACACACTCAGCCACCTAATCTTTGATAAAGGGGCCAATCAAACTCACTGGAAGAACGATAGCCTCTTTAATAAATGGTGCTGGAAAAATTGGCTTGCCACCTGCCAAAGACTGAATATAGACCCAAGCTTATCACCATGCACCAAACTCAAGTCAAAATGGTTCACAGAGCTCAATATTAAACCAGAAACACTAAATCTATTGGAAGAGAAAGTAGGTAAAAACCTTTAAGAGATGGGGGTAGGCAGAGAATTCATGAACAAAAACCAAATTGCACGTGAAACACTTGAAAGAATCAACAACTGGGATCTCATCCTCCTGAAAAGTTTCTGCACACCTAAAGAAATCACCAACAGAGTAAAAAGAAAACCCACAAACTTGGAAAAAATTTTAGCTGATTGTCCCTCAAGAAAGGGCTTCTATGTAGAACATATAAAGAATTAAAAAATATTAGCCCCTGCAAATTCAAAGACCCAATCCAAAAATGGGCAGCTGAGATGAATACACACGTCTCAGACAAGGAGATACAAATGGCAAATAAATATATGAGAAAATGTTCAACATCATTAGTCATTCGAGAAATGCAAATTAAAACAACACTGTGAGTCTACCTTATCCCACTAAGAATGGCTAGCATGAAGAAATCACCCAATAACAAATGCTGGCGAGGCTGTGTAGAAATAGGAACCCTTGTCCAGTTCTGGTGGGAATGCAGACTGGTGAAACCACTGTGGAAACCAGTTTGGAGATTCCTCAGCAACCTAGGTCTAGAGGTCCCATTCAACCCAGCTATCCCTCTGCTGGGCATTTTCCCAGAAGATCTAAAAACACCACATCACAGTGATATATGATGTGCACCTATGTTCATAGCAGCACAATGTGTAATTGCTAAAATGTGGAAGCAACCCAAATGTCCATCCACTGAGGATTGGATAAGAAAATTGTGGTACTTTTATATAATGGAATATTACTCAGCTGTAAAGAAAGATAAACTCGAGGCTTTTATAGGTCGATGGTCACAACTAGAGAACATACTCAAAAGTGAAATAAATCAAACATGCATGTGCAAGCACCGCATTGTTTCATTAGTGTAATACCTGAAAGAGTTAATTTAAACTAGGTGATATGATAGACATTGTGAATTGATAGGAAAGCACTCAAAGGTAAAGGGTTACTGGGATATGGGAAAAGAGAAGGGAAAGAATGAGAAAGTTTGTATGTATGTATATGCAGGATAGTTAACATGGCTGTTCTACTGTCTTGTATTTCTTGCTGAAAGAAACTGTCAATGAGTCTTGGTTGATCAGCTTTGCATGTCTATATCTGTTTTCATGAAAAACTACATTGAAGATATCAATATGTAATGCAACAAGCATTGTTAATTCCCTACCACTTTGTTTGTAACTCCGTATTGTCTGTACTATTCTTTTGCTATTTTGTAAAATGTTGTCTGTCTGTTAATGTTTTCCTCCTGTTATTTTCTTTTTTTATTTTAAAAATAAAACGAGGAAAACATTAACAGACAGACAACATTTTACAAAATAGCAAAAGAACAGTACAGAGAATACAGAGTTTACAAAGTGGTAGGAAATTAACAATGCTTGTTCTATTACATATTGCTATCTTTAAAGTGGTTTCTCATGAAAACAAATAGAGACATGAAATATTGATCAATCAAGGACTCATTAACAGTTTCAGCAAAGAAATAGAAGACAGTAGATCAACTATGTTAACTATCCCATCTATACATGCATACAAAATTTCTCCTTCCTTCCCTTCTCTTTTCCCCCATCCCAGTTGCCCTTTACCCTTGACCATTTTCCTATCATTTCACAATGTCTATCATACCTCTGAGTTTATATTAACTCTTTCAGGTTTTACACTAGTGAGACAATGCGGTGCTTGCACATACAGGTCTGATTTATTTCACTTACGAGTGTGGTCTCTATCAACTAGTGTATTTTAAAGGATAGGTCCTAAAATATGCATTTCAATTCCTAATTTTATTAGTTCTTTTTATTTCTTTAATATTTCTCATTTTCAGATAATATATGAGGTTATAGGATTGGTCATCTAATTTTTTTTAATGATTTCTACTGACACTGTGTTCTGAAACATTGTATAAGTGTATAATACCCACTCATATATTCTTTATAAAAACCCAGATATCTATTGACATTGATTTTCACTTTTCCTCTTACCTACTCTGGAGAACTACTTTTGATATTTGAATCATATTTTTGTTAAATTTAAAATCACACAGGCCTTAAAGGAAAATTTACATTACCACCATAGGAAAGGTAGAACTCCTTTTGTTATCTCCTTCAGCACTTGTCACACCACACTTTTATTTCTGTGAAGAGCTACTCAATGTGGACACTGAATTCCACCACCCAGAACCTAATGACCTAATCAGCAGTTAGAAATTCTCTACCTTTTCCTGACAGACCATATAAATAAATTCCCCAGATTATTTTTGAATGCTGCAGTGTAGCCCAGCTTTTTGCTTTGCTTTATATCCTGGTTTTAGATAATTGTTCATATTTGGACACTTGAATTACATTTAATTTTGTAAACACTCATAAAGATTTAAATCAATGTTTGTCTTAATTTATGGAAAATGTAGAGCAGGAGGTTTTCACACTGACTAGCTTGTAATACCACTTACAGTAATATTATCCACATGATATGTTTAATTAAATGATTCCTGGACTCACATCAAACATATTGTGTATTGCAGAAAAAAGTGCTTTGTGCGAAATTCTGAGTTCAACATGTATATGATTTATGTTACTTATAACATTCTATTAAGGCAGGAAAATAATAATGATTTTATTTTCAGAAAGGAAATATTAAAGTTTGCTATCTAAATTATAACACTAGTAAAATGATTCAAGAATACTTGTGAGTATTAGTTATTTGGTTTCTAAAACAAAAATAAACAGGCAGAGACTTGAACATATATTGTATTCTGCCTATCACTATCTACCCTCCTTATGTATTCATAACCTATACATTTAGAAACATATACAAATTTAGCAAGAGACACAAAATTTGTTATTCTTCTGTTGGTACATATTGATATCATCAAATTATGTTTAAAGAATTAAGACCATAAGAATTTTATGGAATTTGTGTTATTTAAATCCCCACAAAAGCAGTGGTTACAATTTTCCCATACAAAGTTGCTTATATGCTCAAGACCCTAAAATCTGAAACTATTTAATAAGGTACTAAATCAAGATTTTGTTAATCCAAGGTTTTTGTTCTCTTTTCAATTTCTTTTTAAATAAGGTTCTTGAAATGTGACCAAAGTGGAATAAAGTAAATATACAACATGAAAACCAGTAAATATCATCATAATAGTACACAGAAAAGTATGAACACAATGTCCCACTTTTTTACACATTTGCAATGCTTTCTTACTCTTTGTTTTTAGGTTCTTGTTCTATTTTCAAAATCCAGTGATATACAATACATTCTTTAGAGTTTAAAATCAGATGACATTTATCATTCTTATCAGTAAGGTTAAAATTAGAAACCTGTGTTCCTGAGGGAATACACTGTGAAGTTATCTAGCATGTACTTATCAAGAACATATGTAAAAGTAAATATGTTTAGCAGAAAAATCACAATTATATATATTGAATGATTTCGCAGAAATTCATTCAACTGCTCAGTTGTCAGAGAGATTACCCATCATGAAACACAAAAATTTACTATGTTTCCCCCACATGCGTGTAAAGCACTTGATGAATCGTCTTTCGGTACTGATGAGCACCAGGGGACTGACTGTGGCATAGCCATTGCCAATCAGCATCTGGACACAATGACGAACTGGGTCATAGCTCCACAACATGGCCGAGGTGTACTCAATAACACTGTCCAAAATGTACATGACAATAAAGAAACTCATGAGCAACAAAATAGTCCAGGTGGCCTTTTGTTCTGGGGATGTTTTTGGAGCTAGGCTGATGCAGTGCAGACGCTGGGATTGTCTTTCATGCTTGCACAAGAGAATCACCATGTACCCACTTGAGAGCGCCATGATCCCTATAAACGATATATGCTGGGAAATCATCAGTGACAAGGACATGTACTTGAGGAAGGAACTGATAGGCAAAAGGGAGCAGGATTTAGTGACAAACATGAGACTGTGTGAGGTCACATTGAGAGTGGCAACAGTGGAGATTAAGAAACGACCACTGATGAGCATATTGAAGACCCATAAAAAGCAAAAGCAACACAGGTTCCGATGCAGAGATTTCTGTTTGAACTTTGCCAAACAGGAGCTTCTGGGGCTGAGGGTGATGGCCTGGAGGACACTCAGCATGCAGGTGGTACAGATGGAGAGGCCCCTCATCACCCTGTACAAATAGAAAACACATTTACATGTGATGCCATCCCCTAAGTCCTGAAACCCAAATATGTCCATAGCTATGAAGCCCACAGTTAGGAGCATCACTATGTGGATAAGGGCCAAGTGACCGATGGTCAGATCAGTGGTCTTGGGCTTGCGCTGCAGAAGGAATGTGAGGACATGAAAGAGAAGCAGGGCAGTGTTGGCCATAACCCCAAGGCTGACTTCAAAGAAAAACATGTGTTGTATATCAATAAAACTAGAAAATCTGCTGTTTTTATTCATCTTCATGGAGAGGAAATATACAGCACATATCTGAAGAGAAAAGCATGGAAAATTCTTTATCGTAAATATTAGCTCCTTCTTCATCACTCTCAACCAACATTAGGTCTTCATCAAAATAGTGGATTCATCCCGATGTGTACTTTTCCCATGTATGTAGGCAGCTCCACTTCACACTCTCCAGCATATTTCAGGGCTGTCCCAACACTTTCTAAGGATGGCTGCATTATGGGTCCCCCTGTTGGATTTCCACACCACCTCTGTAATGAAACAATCATAATAAAAAATATATTCTCATATTTTGTCTCACCCTTAATTTTCAAAATCCACTGTTTTATTTCCCCTTGTACCTGTGCTGCCTTATTCAGTAAATTTAGGTTTCTTCACATGTATCCAGAAAAGGAAATCCCAATATTTTAATCTGATTATCCAGCTGTCTCTGAGATTTTTGGATTACACAGTCACAAAATATGGACACCTAAATGATCTTGTATTTCATGTACCTATAAATGATATTTGCTAAAAATCTACTTACTGTAAGTTATAAAATATATCCTAATAATGTTTAAAGAAGGACCACTAATCAATATATAACAATGCTTAAAGGTAATATGTTAAAAGATTGAGATAACATATATTAAATGTGAATTTCAAATTTGTTTTTTCATTTGATTTCTCTGAAATTCAAACTATAGTTTAATTTTGTTTCAACAATTTGATCTTAACCAATAGATAACATTTTCAAATTGCTCACAGATAATATTAAAATCTTCTAACAACTGAGAGGATAGTACTGCATTATTTTCAGCATTATTTACAGGGCTGCTTCTTCAAAGACAAATGACTAAGAGCCGGCAGATGTGTGCAGATGCGGTAGGTTTATAAACCACTAATGATATCATGACATCAGAGGGTCATTACCTGCAACTCAAAAAAGAACTTTGGAGCAAAGAAGTTGGTCTGCTTTCTCCAGAGCACTATTTAGGAAAATGATACACTTTGAGGGAATCATGATAATTCACCCATATTTCCTCCCATGAAACACTCAGAAAGATGACAAAAACTTATGGTCAATCATCCAACTATCTCTAAATATTGTGAATCTCACAAATCTGCATTATTGAAACACATACTCAAGATATCTTTGTACTGCATTTGTATATAAGTGATATAAAGAAAGGTATACAGCTGCTTTTGTATTAAGATATTATTAGCAAATACATTCTGGAGAATATGAACAACTCATGAAAACAAGGTACACTCTTCCCTCCCAGTTATGACCCATCCTGCTCATATCTGCCTTGTACCACACAATTGAAGAGCTCAGTTAATGGAACAGGAACTCTCTCCATTAGCAGGATGGACTAATACATCTCTTAGGACTGACAATGCTGTCTGTTAAGGCACCTAGGAGACCTAACACAGGAAATACAAAAATCTTATTGTACACACTGGAGGAAACAAGCTGCTCTCAGAGAGACCGGAGGTTAATAAATATATGAAGAAATCACAAGGAAAGTAACTCAGAAGAAAGGCCTGAAGGAGCCACATAGGAAATGAGGTACAAAAAGTCTAGTGGGCAGCATAGGGATAAACTGAACACACAAAGAGGAAGAAATATCAAAGAGAAATCTGTGCATTGTTTTGGACCAGTTTCCTTTAGGAATTGTCATAACTCACAGTGAAGTTTGCTGTACCCTCAGGAGAAATGTAGCAAAGTCCATACTCTTATTAATACCACACTGATTCACTGAAACATGGTGTTATTTCTGCAGTTCCTAAGACCATGTCCCATCGTGTGATTTATATTATCATAAAATGGGCCATAACTAGGGAAGAATGCTCAGAGCCATGTACTTGAGACAGTGGCAGTAGAACACTGGAATCAGTGAGAGAGGGAGATGCCTTTATAGACTTCCATGCAAATTTGGGTACCTCTGGACTTGGGGGTGGCTTGATTGTAGTGTGAAAAAGAAAGTTAAAGAGTACGTATGTCCTTCCTCAAGTGCAATATGAGCATAATCTGCATATTAATAGCTCAGGGATGGAATGACTTAGGTCCAGCACATTATCACATACCATAGATACATAAAAGGACACACCAGTGATTTCTTATTATGGATACAATCAGATCAACTTCATATCACTGTCTTCAACATTGTTCTTATTAATAAATGAAGGTCAAGTAGAAACCTGGACTGGGAGTAAGGTTCAGCATACATATGAAGCAGGTAGGTGTGTAGGTATATTGGTTAATAAACTCCACTGCTTGACAGAATTAGAATTGGAAAAATAAAAAGAGAGTAAGGAAGAAAGAGGTGACACCCAACGGGAAGGCTGTATCATCGGCAACAAGATGGTCAGTCCAGAGCACAGAGCATTTGTGAAATGCACCCCTTGCAGAAAAAGGTGGAACAAATTTTCCAGGCTATTTCGGTAGATGAACACCATTCACACCCCCAAATAGTGAAAATTCCGTTTTTTTTTTTTTTTTTTGATTCAAAGGACTAACTAATGCCTGGGGCTTGAGTCTTCACTGGTGCTTATTATATGAAGATGTTTCATTGCATTTTGAGCGATATCAAGAGAAGGTCATTGCTATTCCAAAGTACAGAAACAGGAAACCATAACAGTACTTTGTCACAAGTAGGGGTATTCCAGCTGTGGATGACAAGCTTTCTCTGCTCAGTCTAGCAATGACATAAGGGCCATCTTGTACTCTTATAAACCAGTTTTCAATTTCATTTGTCTTTATAACCTTTGTAAATTACTGTAATGAGAAGTCTACTTCATGTTTACCTGTTGCCAATAAATGCTTAAATAAGGTGGAATGTAACACCCATAGGGAAATGAAAATGAGATCAGAGAAAATTAAAATGCTGTGTCCTAAATATTTTCCTCAAGAAAAAGATTCTGGCATATTCATTACCAATGAGAGTAGAAACTGTTTTTATAATAAAGTTGGATGGAGAAAATATAAATGGACAAGAATGGTCTTTCCACTCATAACATTCTGACAGATTACACTCTTTGTAGAAAGGCAAGGGAAGTATCTACTGTAATCACTTTATTTTTAATATCATTGCAGCCTAACTTTCACTGTGCTCTGAAATGAGATTTTCTAACTGGTAGAGCACATGGGTAACTGCTGATATCATTAAGTATAAATTTATAAAGTTAATGGTGGAAGTGGAAAGGTCTATATGACAAAGTGGAATATCGATTTTGGAGGGGTGAGGGTAAGTTCTTTCTATGGGGGATTCTCTAAAAAAGAACCTCACTAAATATTAACAAATTCAAAACTTTTAAAATAAATAATTACAAATATTACCTGTTCATATATATTTTTAAATGCTTCATAAAGATGGTAGAAGAAAAACAGAATATTTCTTAAAGACTCATAATGAAAGTTTTTCTTATAAGAGGTATAAGTACAAATTTTGAAATACTCTAAAGTGACAGTATTTTCCCTGAGAATTTATTTAGCTAGTAAACCAGTCACCTCATTCAGAGGAAAGCATACATACTTGAAATTAGTTTAGTGTTTCATATGAAAAGGTCTGCTGATTTTAAGAGTCATTAAATTAAATTACTAGATAATTTACCAATTTCACTACAGCATGAAACTTCCTTTGTATGGTGGCTGGAGCTGCACTGTTCATCTGAATCCAGAAAACTCTTGATTCAGGTACACCCTGGCTTCCCTCTATACTATGTCCAGGACCCTAATCACCCATCTAATTCTCCATCCCTTGAATATAGACCCACTTACCTGCTGTGATATATGGAGGAGTTTGGTATACCTGAGAAGAGACAGCATAGCTTTATGGAAAACTTAACATTAGCTCATTTCTCAGCAGGCCTGTAACATTTGTGTCAGCAGAGAGATGACAAGACCCCATTGGTGAGGTCAGAACATGCAATCACAGTAGAGCATTTTACCTGTCTCTTACTATTACTTTATTCTCTGCAGGACTGTAGCTACCTGGGGAGAGCTGTGCTCAGAACTTTTCTCTAAGCTCCCTTGACATATAGTATGAAGGATCAGAAAAGACAGAACCATGTAGTCATCACCAATTCTCTTATTTTGAGCTAAATTTGCATTAGTCTAATCCTGGTGCATATCGTATAATGATTGGGCCATGGGGTGAGAGAGTCGTGGAAGCACCTTTGCGCTCCCTGGAGCTCTCAAGTTCATTTCCCAATAATGCATCTTGGGCATCTTCTTCTCTAGTCCATTCCCAAGTGGAACCTGTGGCTCCAGGAGCTACTGGTCCCATACCTTATGATTTTTAAGTTTTTGGATTCAGATTCCAACCAGTGAGGTAAACTTATTTGTGAATTTAAAAAGAAAGAACACGAGAATTGGAAGCACAGAAGCAGAGCTAATGGATGAATGTTGAGGTAATAAATCATGGGCACACTGAACATAATTGGAACTGAAGCACAGCCCAAATTGCTCTCCATTCTAGCTAGAAGCTGGATGATTGGGCTTCCTTCTCACTAAAAGGAAGGAAGAGGCTATTACTTTCTCTGAAAAACACTGTACACAAATATTCTTCAGCCACAATATGCTTTATATAGAACTATATACAGAATTGTAAGACATGGGGCAAAATGGGACATTGTGACTACTAAATATACATAAGAAAATACAGTATTTTAGCCAGATCCACAAATATCTCAGGTACCATAATCAGAAGACAGTAGTGTAAAGCAACTAGGATCAATATGGTAAATTTTAATACAGATATAGTAGATGACAAGAGTAGGTGTTTCTTGAGACAAATGTAAACTTCTAAGGGTTTTATTTAAAACACAACAATCAGTCCTGCAATATCAAATATATAAAATTTCTCATTGATGCCTCAGGGAGGATTAGACATTATACAAGTAGTCCTGAAGGAACACTTATTTTTAGAGGAATAAAAAATCATACAGCGTGCTAAACAAGGTGTTAAGAAATCCATATAACTAGATTAAGAAGTACTCTAAACATAGCA